TATTTTGGCTTTTGTTTTTGTGTTGATGCTTCAGCAAGTCAGATGGATATGAACTTGAATCTTGAAGTCTTTCTGTACCTTTCATTTTCTCTCTACCTCATGGGCTTGCTGGTCTAGAAGAAAATAACTCAAAACCCCAGTTTTTTAAAGTCTTCCAGTTGTTAGATAACTCCTTACTGAATATGTCTATACAGGAAGGGAAGTGGGCAGGTGGGGACCTCACCCAGATGGTTTGAATAATCACCACACCTCTTTAGGCAAAGAAGGTGTTTTATTTATTGTTTTGAACTTGACTGACTCCGATGAATTTTCTACACTGAGACATTCATGCAGGTCGTTTATCAGCCCTCTCTTTATTTAATTTTGGTTTTCATTAAAGTCATTATGTCCCACAGTTGTCATTTCAGGAAAATAGTAGGAGAAAGCTCTCCCACCTCATCATCTCAACATCCCCATCAGGATAACTTTGGACTTGCTATTGGGGGTCCTGTCCAGTTTTCGTGCTCTCTAAGGGACCGGGGGTGAGATGGGGCTGGCATTCTCAGTTCTCTAGAATTGTGCAGACCTGGTAAAGTGCTGACAAGACCATCTGTGGTTTCAAGTTGGAGTTACTGGGTGTATCTTATTCATCTTGTATTCCCTGCGCCTAACAAAGGTCCTGGTCCAAAGTAGATGATTATAAATATTAAATAAAAAAGAGAGGACTTGGCTGATGGTCTAGTGGTTAAGAATCTGAACTTCCAATGCAGGTGGTATGGGTTTGATCCCTGGTCAGGAAGGTAACATCCTATATGTGGCGTGGCCAAATTAAATATATACATATATATATATATATTTTAATTTAAAAAAAGAGAGAAGAGAGAGGGATAGAGAGACACAGACAGAGAGAGAAGTGTTTGAGCTACAAGTATGATATGAAGCCATTCAGGTTGTTCAACAATAATTTACTAAATCTATTTAAGGCAATAAGAAATCTGGATGGTCCTATTGTTAGGGTTCATCTCAAGGTGGCCTGTTGGGATAGCCAGGCTGATTTTGGCAAGAGACAATGAAGATCTTCCCAGGCATCAATGTGGGGTGCAGTTATTAAATAAACCTGTCAATAGTTAACATATGCATTTTTAAATGATGATTATTTGTCTACTGGCAAGAACTAAACATGAAGCAATCACACGTCTTCCCACCAGTGAGAAAGATTTAAATATTTAAACTGCATGGGTTGTGAGAAAGTGTACATAAGTTTCATTTGTGGCTACCAGCGCAGCATCTCTCCTTAGAGATGGAGTGTTGGGGACATCCCATGGCCTCCATGACACATGCCCAAAGCTTCTGATGACTCTGAATACACCAGTCCCAGGACAGAATCTTGCCTGGGACCCCAGGGTTTGCCTCTGAGGAACTCCAGCTGGGGGACAGTAAACACAGAGGCTCCTTTGGTCCTAGGGACCTCAGGCTGCCAGGACCCTTGTTTCCCTTCTTCACCCCTGTGGGTCTAGAGCACAGGGCGATGGCAGAGCATAATAAGGCATGTGGAGGACTCGGACCCACCCCCTACATCCCTCCCCTGCCACCTGGAGGGGCTGGACCCAGAGACTTGTAGGCACAGAATCCTGCCTCCATCCTTCTTTTCCTTTCTGGTTCCCTGGGAAATTCTCCTGGCTCCATGGACCATACTCTCCAATGTAAAATGAATTAAATACATGTTCTGTGGTGGGTGCTTTACATAAACAGTGCTCATCTTCATCCAATTATAGCAATGTTATAATTATCTCATATTACTTTGTAAATGAGTAAGATGGGACCAAAGATCACAGAGTAAATAAATGGTAACCTTGGTCTCTAAGTGCAACATGTGACCTTCTTCTCTACTAATTGATGGATATTTCCTGTTCCATCTTAATTACAAATGAGATTTTGTTTAAAATGCAGCAGGTTTTCAAATGCAGCAAATCTCAGAGAGGAGAGACTATTTTTAAAACATTCTCTGGAAGCTAACCCTAAGGATTGTGCAGCTGGACAAAAAATAACTCAAGAGAATAAATCTGAGGAACAGCCAAACATATTAGATATAAAGAGATAAATGCGTACATTAATAAAGAGTCGCTGCCTATTTTTCAATTTTGGCTTTGCATTTCCTCTATTACTTTCATTCCATATCAATCTCTCTTTCCAGCAAGTGTGAATATTCTTGGAAATGGGTATTGGATTGTTCTCAGATTGAATCCTATTATTACACGTCTGTCCCAGTCCAGGAAACCAATGTCCTGGAGCTTTGGTTGAGCTCTTGCCTGTAATGCTTTCCATTTAGAAAGGTCATTTAAAAAATGGGAGTCGGTGAGAAATGTAGCACCTTTTTGGTCCAGTGGTTCTGTTAAGAGGAGTCGTATGAAAGGCCTTCAGACCATGTTCTTACTCTAAGTGTCCAGAGGAGGTGGGTAAGAGGATCCGAGAATCTCGTCCTCCTTGTCTGTCACCTCATAGGCAACGTTGGGTAAGTCACATTCCTGGCAGCAATGAGGGGATGGAATCAGAATATTCCTAAGGCCCTTCCTGTATTAACCTTTGATGATTTCATGACAACCATAATATATGTGTTGACCCATTTGTATATTTAATGGACAACTAAGAGATTCTAAATGTATCAGTTAAGGTCTGATCTTGAAACTCAAATTGATTTTCTTGCTAATCAGTAGCAAATTCAGGGAGAGCTAAAATTTCCAATTCAGATTATCTGCCCAGCCATGAGATAATTAACCACTTAATTATCTGTGACTCACATCCACTGTTGCCTGATAAAACATCTCTGTTGTACTATTGCACAAGTCAAGAGCATGGACATTTTAAGGTATCTTAGGCCGGAACTGTCTTTGGTTCTGAAAGTGAAAGTGGCTCCATTGTGTCCGACTCTTTGTGACCCCATAGACTATACGGTCCATGGAATTCTCCAGGCCAGAATACTGGAGTGGGTAGCCTTTGCCTTCTCCAGGGGATCTTTCCAACCCAGAGATCGAACCCAGGTCTCCCACATTGCAGGCAGATTCTTTTCCAGTTGAGCCACAAGGGAAGTCTTTGGTTCTAAGTGGTAACCTGTCATCATTTGTGCAGGAAGAGATCATATCAGTACTTCACCCTTCTCAAGTGCTTCTCGTGGTGTTTGCTCCATGGAATTTATGGTTAGCGTGAGTCATTAGTCCGAGTTTTGTCATCTCTCTCCTTCATGAACTCTATCAGCATTTTGTATCTGTATTCCCGTTTTCAACGAGGAAGACTATATTAAATTGAGGATTTCCACAGGCTGCTGAATGAGAAATAAAAGATGATCTTTTTGTACACAAATACATCAGATTCATGCAAACACAGATGTCTTATGACAGCCATTTAAAAATAATAAAAGAGCTTTTATTTCTGTGAGTTAGATGAAAATTCCAAGATCCATGGTAAAAGATAATCAATAATTTATCAGTTCAATTTGGGGACATGAGTGATTTTTGTTACATCCTATCTGTTTCATATTATAATAAGAAATTGTCCAAATTATAGCATTTTATTTCTGAACTTGCAAAGAAATTGAGACAGGAAGAATAGCAGATTTCTTCCATCTCTTTCACTGCAATTTTACCATTACCTGCCAGTTTCAGAAAATAATTTGTCAAGAAATGGAAGAATCTTTATAGACTTCAGCAATATTGCTCTAACAGTTATTTCAATTATGTCGGGGAAAAGATGAGACTATTTCCCATTCAAAACAGTCACTTTTATGAACTAAGCCAATTATCCTCTGAAAAATAATTCTCAAAACAGTTACAATTTTAAATTGAGATACTTTGTAAAGACAGGATGTGTACATGCTAAGTTGCTTCAGTCATGTCCAATTCTTAGGGATCCCATGGACTGTAGCCCATCACGCTCCTCTGTCCATAGGATTCTCCAAGCAAGAATGCTGGAGAAGGTAGCTATACCAACCAGGGATCGAATGCAGGCAGTCTCCTGCATTGCAGGTGGATTTTTTACTGGCTGAGCCACCAGGGCAGGTTACAAAGCGTTTTTGTTTGTTTGTTTGTTTGTTTGTTTGTTTGTTTTTAAGCAGCTAATACTCTGAAAAAATATTGTAACTAACTTACAAGTAACTTCTAACAAATCTTACAAACTAACTTACCCTGAGGCAGGAAATCATCTTCATGGGCAAGCAGACCTATCCATCAAACAACTCATTAAAGCTCTTCTCTCCTTTTCAATCTGTGTTCTTCCTTGCTAGGGGCAGAGGTTTGTAACTGCTGAGATTTTTTTTTTTACTAGATGTTGCTAATTATTTTCTACCAAAAGATTTTACCCCCCCCCCCAAAAAAAAGCCTTTACCCACAAAGACCCAAATTCCCTGCTCCCAGTATAAGCTCTCCTAACTCTTGTCCTCTGTGTTGGCCCCACACAGAATGACTTCAGGGATCACAGCTTCTTGGTACCACTCGGTGGATGCTCAGCTTCTAGTTGTGCCTGGAAGCTGAACTGAGGATGCCCTGGAGGGAAGGTCTGAGCTGCCAAGGAAGCTCTGGACCTCAGGGTTCCTACAGGAGGCGGTCTGCACATGCTTCATTCTCAACTGGTATCCAGTAACTTCTAATTTTGTCAAAACAGATGCTGCACTTTCTCCTGAACTCTCTTTTGCTCCTCACTCAGATTTGGCATCCTGTGCTAACCCCGGCCATACCTGACCCTGGTCCTGGGAAGCTTTAAACTGGCTGCAGCAGTGAGGCACTGGCCAGTTGAGTGTCAGATTTTGCTCATTTACTTCTTGGTTTCAGTTGGTCAATTTTCAGATTAACTGAGAGAGAAGAGGGGTTTTGTTTTAAACAAACTTCATTTGCCAATAAGCTTTTAAAATACTTTAAAAAATACATTTTAAAAGGAGAGAAGAGAGAAATAAAAGAGTAAAAAACCAAACCACTCATGCATAATGAAAGTTTACCCATTATGTACCACAAAGTTTTTTTCCTCATTCAGAATTATTCCTTAAGAGGTGGTGATTTAGTTGCTAAGTCATGTCTGACTCTTGTGACCCCATGGACTGTAGCCCTCCAGGCTCCTCTGTCCAAGGGATTCTCCAGGCAAGAATAGTGGAGTGGGTTGCCATTTTCTTTTCCAGGGGATCTTCCCAACCCAGGAATCGAACCCGGGTCTCCTGCATTGCAGGCAGATTCTTTACTGACTGAACTACAAGGGAATTCCTTAAGAGGAATCACTATTAAGTTTGTGTTATGTTGGAGACAATGACAGGCTGCTTCTCTGTCACTTCCCCACAGACTTGTCATGGCAAATGGAAGGTTTATATCAAACTTCAGAAATGGTTTTGATTGATTGACAACCTCCATGACTGAGGCACTCCAACAGCTGCTGTCCATAAATCATGCAGATCCACGTGGCAGACCATCACTTCCACATCGACTGGCCTCCAGACGTCCTGCCCACAGCTCTGCCCACTGTCATGACTTCCATTCATAGCCATGTTTCAGGTGCCATAGAAAGATGGGCGTGCCCTTCTGGCCAGACCGGTATATGAGATAGGTTCTTCCAGATATAGGCACGTGCTTTTCCATCAATCGATCATAGAGAACATCCTGGAGATGCTAGGTGTAGCTGAGGGGAACCTGTGAAGCAGTAGGACAGGACCACACAGTGGGTGCCATGGCCAATCCATATCCAAGCAGAGAGGCATCCAGGCCACAGAGGCTGATGCATCTCTTCCAGCACCTCTGATCCATCAATGCTGGATGCTGGCTGGCTCAGCTGACAACTAGAGAGAGCAGCTCAGGTTGACACTGGAGTTAGGGAGCAACGTCCAAGGGGATGGCAAGCAGACCTGCAGGGACCAGAGAAGGACATTCCAGGGGAGGGAGGTGTCGTATTTTCACAGGTTGCCTCTTCTGCTTCTCCCCCTCCTTTCCCTGCCTGCTTCTCCCATCTCTGTCTCCTTCTCACACCTACAACACACATGTGCATGCACACACACGCATTCACACATGCATGAGAAGTGAAGGCATCTTGCTAATTTACAAGATAAATGTCATGTGTTGCCTTCTGTGATTGCAAATGGGCTTTTAAAGATCATTAACAGTGCCCTAAAATGTGACTCTTCTGAACATTTTGTGGGGCTTCAGGCTGTCTAAAAAGGAAGGTTTCTTTTCCAAAACACTGCACATTGGAGCAGTCAGAGTCTGAAACCCACTGTTTTAGCCTAGTGACTTGAAATGCCTGTGGGGAAGCATTTATTTTAGGTGGCAGTCATTTCTGTGACAGCTTGACTCATAGGGAGCCATTATCAGCAACATATTTTAAAATTCTGGAGCCATTTTTATGTGTTTCAGTATCTTTTAATTGAATAATAAGTAATTTTGAGGTATTGGGTGAAGGACTGAGTTGACTCCAGAGGTGACTGATTTTCTATAAAACTAATCAAAGAGTGTTTAAAAATCTATTCCAGGATAGCATAAATCCTAAGACAGAAGAATAATTTTAAAGGGTGGCTTAAAAGAGTATAATGAAACAGTAGTGTATGAGCTGTAATATTTGGCTACCTGATGTGAAGAGCCAACTCACTGGAAAACCCTGATGCTGGGAAAGATTGAGGGCAGGAGGAGAAGGGGACAACAGAGGATGAGGTGGTTGGATGGCATCGCTGACTCAATGGACTTGAGTTTGAGCAAACTCAGGGAGATAGTGAAGGACAGGGAAGGCTGGCATGCTGCAGTTCATAGGATTGTAAAGAGTCAGACACGATTGCACACACACATATCCTGATATAAAATAAAAAGTTTAAAAACAAGGAGCTTAGATTTATGATCCTGTAGAAAGTTTTTTTTTTTTTTTTTTAATGAGTCTAAACCAAAGCATTGGGTCCCTCGGATGAACCCAGAACCACAGAACTCTGGGCAGTGACCACTCCTTCAGACCCCGCAGGCTGCAGGCTGAACTGCACTTTAACTTGACTTCCAGCAGCTTAAGGCTGCAGCTCTGATAAAACCCAGCCCCTTCTGAGCTCCTGTCTGGAGATGCTCTGGTCTGTCAATAGAATTTATTTTGTGTGTTAGCTAACACGTGGCCCTTGACCTCCTTTTCCTTATATCTTTCACTAAAAAGGGTTTGCAATTGTGAATCCTTCCTCTGTCCTTTTGAGATGCGTATTCAACTCCTACAGCTCAGGAGTGCCTTTCTCAAGGACCTGAAAGCCATTCTTTGAACAAATCAGGAAGGCTAGGTCCTCAGTCTCCCAGTCTGTGCGGGAGAGTAAATTCCTCTCTTTCTCGGTCGTCGGCCAGCAGACACACTGCCGATGGCAGTGACATCGACCGAGACTTCGGGATGTTTCCTTCCCCGACTCTGCTGAGGCCCCCCTGGCCCCGCTCACTCTCTCATCCTCCCTTTAAAACACCCTGTCTCCACAGGTCTGTTCCCTACCTCTTCATCTTCATTGCTGCTCTGCAGACAGGTTCATCAGTACCATCTTTCTAGAGTCCACATATATTCATTAATACATGATATTTGTTTTTCTTTTTCTGAGTTACTTCACTTTGCATAACAGGATAGCCAATGGAAATTTGCCGTATGATTCAGGGAACTCACACTGAGGCTCTGTAACAACCTAGATGGGTGGGAAAGTGTAGGAGGTGGGAGGGAGATTCAAGAGGGAGGGGACATATGTATACCGATGGCTAATTCATGTTGATGTAAGGCAGAAAGCAAACCAATAGTGTAAAGGAGTTAAATAGCTTTATTTAATTGCCATTACTAAATAATTAAAAATAAATTTTTAAGAAATTAAAAGAAAAGCAACACCACCCCATCACTCTACACAAATCGGAATAGAGCTCCACTCTTCCCTGACTGTCAGCAGGGACAAGAAAGCATTTTCACCACCTTAAATAACGCCCACTTTGTTTATCTCTGATGAAACCACTCTGGGCTCCAGAGAGGTCCTTTCTGTATCCAAACGTCAAGAACCTTCTTGAGCAAGAACTTTGCCCAATAGCATTCTCTTCTTGAGCTGCTTCTGGTGTACCAATTTCAGAACAAACAATAAACGTAAGAGTCTAAAGTAAGAGTCTAAAATCTGCCTCGAGAGATCCAGGTTTTGTTTGTCATCATTTGCACAGAAAGTTTTGCAGCCAGTTTGCAAAACAAGTGTTACTTGCAAGCAATCATGCAGCTGATTTGAAAGGAAAGGGGAACCTGTATAAGGTCTTTGAGATTTTTCCTTGAACCAACAAAAGCAGGTTAATTAGAGGCAAAAACACCAAGAGCAAAACCCTTTGAATATTCTTGACCTTGGCACTTGCAAGAATATAGAGGTCCCTGGAAATTTTAAGCTGAGTTTTTAGTTCTAGACAAATGTAGAAAATCATCTGACTTGTTGGGAAATGAACTGAGATATTATGAAAATGGAAAAAGGGTGATAAAAAGCTATTTATAGTAATATTTAAAGCTTTGAAAAAGCTTCATCAAAAACAACCAAACATTTTGAAATTTTTCTTCTTTCCTTCTGCTAAATGTATATGAAACATTGAAACATATGAAACATGTATATGAAACAGTGTGGGGCTAAGAAAATATTTTTTAACATGGTAAATTTTCACTTACCCACAGAAGTTTAAAGTTGACACGACCAGGTATTTATCTACAGGGATTGCCATGCCTTCCTTCAGGGGATCTTCCCAACCCAAGGATCAAACCCAGGTCTCCTGAATCGCTGGCAGATTCTTTACCATCTGAGCCACCAGGGAAGCCCTATTGACAGGTAAAAGATATTTTTAAAAAGTCAACTTACATTAATTCAGTGAAGACCGGGCTTTGTTATCACTGAGACGTAAGGCAGCCCAGGCCACGTGTCTCTGGGCACTTCTTTCTTCCTGGTTGAGAGAGGGGGCTGAGGGGGAAAAGACCCTTGACTTCTTACAAGTCCAGTCCTGCTCAGCCCCGTCCACTCCCTTGATTATGAAATGTCTCTAGCCTCTCTGTCCCCATGAGATTAGCATTTTCTAGAAGGAAGCTTGACAATGAAAGCAAAGGAAAATGAATAAAATACCACAAGAGCAAAGACATGGAGGTGTTTGTCCAGCACAGGGAATTGAAACAGCAGAGCAGGTGGAGAACGCAGCCCCTAGTATCCACTCATCACGTACGTGGTCTGGCTAAGCTGAGCTGCTCTCTTCAGTTTAAATTGATTCAAGCTTTGAGTCTGAGCCAAGTGGAATCCTTGCCCCTTCCTGGATCTGTATATCTTTGTTGTCATTGTTCAGTTACTAAGTCGTGTCTGACTCTGCAACCCCATGGACTGCAGCACACCAGGCTTCCCTGTCCTTCACCATCTCCTGGGGTTTGCTCAGATTCATGTGCACTAAGGCGGTGATGCCATCCAACCATTTCATCAGCTCCTATTACACAGTAACATCCTCCCCTTGAAAGAGAAATGCTGAAGTGAGTCCAGATGTCTTGCTACCTGGAGCTCTTCAAGGAAGCTCAGCTCAACCTGAGGAAATCTTCTTTCTGCTTTGAAAGTGGCTCTGTCAGGGCCACCACTCAGATGCTCTCACTGGAATGTTTCCGGCACTCGTTCGTTTCCAGTGTATAGAACAATCAGAGAAGTCTTCCCCACTGACAGCTCATCTCATTCAAATCCTTTCTCTCCTCTATAGGCAGTGAGAATGCCTTCTGATTTTATTCTTAAAACACTTGAATTTTAAAGTCATCTCCATATAACACCACATGCACACCAAGAGCCCCTCACATTATCTTGCTCTATCTTAAGATGAAAGTTATTTCTTTTATGACACAACATTTAAACAACATTTAATATATAACAGTTACCATATTCCAGGTGTTGGGGGAAAAATGAATGAGAAACATACCTATCTTTGAGGAACTGATGAGGTAGCTTTGAAAACAGCTTGATACGATTTAAGACAGAATGACAGAAATGCTATAATAGAGATAAAAATAAAAGTCTTTTTGGTGCAAAGAAAGAGGGATTTATTTCTATTAAACGCAATGTAGATGGAAAATTTCATTCAGGCCAATTATTTGGAAAACTAATTGGCTTCACTTAGCTCACAGCTCCCAGCACGAGTGAAGTACAGTTACCAGGGTAGATGGTAGATGAGTTAGGCAGAGCACCTGGTGAGGGGCTGGTGGCCATCATCTGCCATTCATGATTAAAGACCACCAAGCACCACTGGAGATTAGATTCCAAGGAAAGAGAACTCTGCTGATGGCATGTAAAAGCATTACTTGAAGATTCTCGAGACACTGTGGGTCAGAGCTTTGCAATGTCAATCCTCAGATACATAGCCAACAGAGAAAACGATTACTCCTGTCTTGGACTTGTGAAATCACTTCTTGAGAGGTCAAT